CCCCAAAACCCCAAAACCCCTTATCTCATAATTAAAGTCTTAATGAAAGATAAATAAATTGATCAAAATATAAACTAAAATTTGATGGAATAATTTTACAAACAAGATAATTACACTCAATTGAGCAAATAAGGATTTCATTATAAAGATTCCCCTACCAAATATCTTTAACTTCCTAATTCATTTGATACATATTAAAACATCAGAGTTACATTAGAAAGCTACTTAAATAATAGCTCTCCAACGATCAATCACTTCATAAATTTACTTTAGGAAATTTGTTGCATAAATCAAAATTCGAACTATAATAGGATTTCTTTAGACGCTCTTTAAATATTTCTAGAAAACTAACATGAAAATAAAGCTAATTATATTTGCAAAAATGTAGTATAATTCGCAATAAGATAGGCTTTGAGATTAGAAAAAGTATTTTCAAATGGAAAACTCAAGATTCTAAGGAGTAACACTGATTCCTTTTAAACATTTTCTGATGATGAGGCATTGGTATTGATCAGTAATTAATTTCTGTGCACATTTCCACCTCTTAATATGCAAAAGTAATTAAGGGATGTTTAAATGCCTAACAGATAAAATTTCACAGATATGTATATAAGAGATATAAATCCTGGAAGGCATGGTCCGCTAATCTCAAAGATTCCATTTTTAATTAATTACTTTGAGAAAGAAATGTAGATTAATTAACCAGGTTCTATATATGGTGCCCAAGGAGGTTACAACAAGAGCCATCCGCAATCAATTGTCATAAAAAGAAATTTGATTGAAAAGGAAACATATAAGTATTTTGGTCAAAATTTTTGGGAAGATTAACAAGAAAAAATGAACACAGTTTTTATTGATCACAATCTAAAAATTGAAGATCAAGATGAATCATTGATAGTTGACTTTGCTAATGCTTATATTGGGGGAGGAACTTTGGGGAAAGGAGCTGCATAGGAGGAAATTTTATTCCTTATATTTCCCTAGGCAATTATTAGCATGCTAATTTGCGAAAAAATGGATATAAATGAAGCTATACTTATTCAAAATGTCAGAAGATACGCAAATTACTCTGGATATTCCTCAACCTTATAGTACCATGATATGAATTCATTTCACAAAAATGTTATTAGAAAAGACATCATAGCAATGGATGCTATTTAATATTATGACGGTAGAAATTATTCTCAATACAGATCAGAGAACTTTATCTAAGAGTTGAATAAATGCTATATTGCTTTTAGGTGCATCGAGTAATGCAGGTTAAGTAAAATCTCTTCAGGAAGGTGGGGTTGTGGTGCATTTAAAGGAGATCCTCAATTGAAGTTTCTATTATAATGGATTGCAGCTTCACTTGTAAAAAAGCATTTGATATTTGCTACCATCAATGATAATAGAGGACTTGAAAAGCTAAATGAAGTAATAATGGCATTAAGTAGAAAACAAATCAAGGATGTATTTGGTTATTTAGTAAAATACTCATAGGGTAATTAAGGACAGCATGATCTATTCAATACAATTTTATGGATGGCTAATCAAACTAAGTTAAATGATCCTTATAGTAATAAGTTAAATGATCCTTATAGTGATAAGTTAAATTCATATAGCTAGATCAAATATGAGAAGATTTCTAATTTCGACTAGAGGTTATCAGCTCATGATTAATCCAGCAAAATTATCTAAATTAATAAGAGATCATAAACAATTGGTTAAAATGGTAAGAATAATGGATTAGCCTTTGGATAAAACAATAAGCAAAATTCCAATAACTATGAATAATAAGTTAACTATGATTTCAAGGTACTAAATGCACAGAATAAGTAAAAAAATGAATAAGATAACTGGAGGTATGATCAAAATAATAGTAAGGGCATTGGTACTATGCTATCACCAATAAGGTAGACAAGAGGTAATACGAAGAAATAAAATTGAATTTTATTTTATTTCTATCTATAAACGCCTTATATAATTTATTCCTATGTATTTTCAAATAAAATATCATATTGGGGTTTTGGGGTTTTGGGGTTTTGGGG